TGAAACAAAACACATTTGTTAATGTTTTGAATTATTTTTCATCATTTTTCATTTCTCACTATGTCCACACTTTTAGATCTCTGGGTAGGATGCCTGTTTGTTAGATTTCTAAGCTACTGCTTAAATTTGTCTTGATCTCTTTCTCCAGACTGGACAAATTATATAAATCTTACTTTTCTGAACTCAAATTTGAGCTGAAGACTTTGCTAACACTAGATTTGTCTTCAGTGAGAAAGAAAAGTTGTAAAACGATTATGTGTGGCATTTAAACGCTCTTGTGTTGTAAACTTTTAAATCTTTCCTTCCCAGCTTTCACCAATGTGTATTTATGTGTATGTGTATTTAAAATCTTAAACCGTTTGCTCAGACTACTCCTTCTTCAGACAAATGTAGGGAAACATTGTACAGTTGGGTGTGACCGGTGATCAGTGCACTGACCAAAACATGTAGGAGGAGCTTTCACCTGCAACATATAATTATATTTAGACAGTAGCGTGCTTTAAACTTTACCCCATCTTGTAGGTGGGGAAGAATTTAAACCAGAGCCAACACCTTAAACCTCTACATCCAAAACAAACGTTGGGCAAAACCTCCCCACAATGGTGACGACATGTACTAAATCTGACTATAGTTATAAAGAGTATTTTACAGTAAAAAGTAGGCTGAGAATCATGTGATGTTTTGAAGAAAAAGGCTAAACAAACAAGGTTCCTTTGGCGCTCTTCTTTTCCTGTGATATCCACTGTTGACCTGCCAGTCGGGATTTTCTCTGCCCGGTTGAATCGTGTCCACTTGGGTCAGTCCTGGCTTGTTTTGATGAAAGAAACATTTGTATGGTTTCCAGAAAGCCAACAGCTTAACCGGTTCAAATTAAATTGTTTTCAGAGAACACAAGTCACAACCTTTAGATCAATTAGATCCACTGACGGTCATCTCTGATGGTAATCAGGTTCAAGCAGCTGCAACAAAGAAATGGTTGTTTAAGAATCAAACTGGACTTTAATTTCCTTTTGATAATTCAGATTTTTCTTTTTTTTTACTCTAGAAATGCTTACAGAAAACAAAACAAAAAGAAGATTAAACAAATTGTTTAATGATTAAATTGCTCAATTTTTTCATTTTTTACTAATATTTCGGTCGAAAAATAAATGAAAATTTGGCCATGAAATACTGAAGGACTTGTCTATCTTCCTCTTTCAGTAACTGATCTATAAATGTGCTAATCTGGACCTTCTGGAACCAGGCCTTGCTCTCTCCTCTGTATCTTAAGCGAGGCAAAGTTCATGATTGTTATTAGGATTATTTCAACAAGTCCAAACACAATACCTGTTTTTATAATGACACAAGGTTGTGTACAAATGAAAGCATCTTATTACAACGGATTCACATTTTAAGGTTCTGAGGAAGAGTACGTTGTGTGCTCCCACTGGGAGCAGACCAGTAAGGACATATCAGGACAGCGTCTGTCGAGAGGAGACTGGGACGAAACCACTGGGAAAACAACAGCTGCTTTACTTGCTTCTACTTGCTGTCTGGGAAGAACTGGGGCAGAAAACGGGTTGCACCCTCTTGCTTTGCAGGGCTTTGCCCCACTGACTTGACGCTAACAGGTCCTAATGGAAGAGAAATGTAGCCAGTCCACAAAGGTGGCTATTTCTTTTATTTGTAGAATGCAATTTTCACTTTTGTAGTTTCGTCTGAAAGTTTTAAATGTAGAGTAAAACATAAAGTATTCGCCTTTTAATTGTAAAAAGCACCATCACTATTCAGGGATTTTACCCAAAAGCAAACCTAACTGCACTCTCTCATTAAACAGCAAGAGAACAGACAGAAATATAATAAAAAAGAAAAATACAATACATTTAGGAAGTTTTATGCATCTTTTATAATATGGCGAATGTGCAATACTACTATTGCACAAAATAAGACTATTAATTTTATTAAAACATTGTATGTTTACCGTTGAGTAGGTAAAACATAAAATTCATACTTTTAAAGCTTTAAATAAAAAAATAAAGTGTTTGTGGTGTGCAAGATATCTGCATGATCTAACTGTAGTGGAGATTTTTCATTTTGTTTCTTCATTTAGTGGAAATCCAGAATGCTTGGTTCCAGAGGCTGAAGCAGACGCCTGGCTCTTTAAAACAACAGGAATATAAAAGCAGCTTAATTACACCCATTAATTACACTAAGTGGAGGTTGGAGGTGGAGCAGCACCAAAAATCTTCCTGAGTGAAACAAGTACTCCAAATGGAATAAGTTAAGAATGCATTTCTTTACGTTTGCATCAGTTAGTCTGACCAGAAACAATTTACGTTTCATTTTCACTATGCATTTCTCACAGGAAGATAATTAATGGCACACAGCCTCCAATCTCCATTCCCCACATATGCAAACATGACAAAAGTTTAAAGGTTTTAAAAATCAATCAGATAAACAACCTTCATGTTTTTGACATTATAAACCCCCTTCAAACTCTTGGAACAAATAATCTGGATTTACATAAAAAGAAGAGAATTATCTTCTGCACTTAAGATATTATATACTTATACCTTTTTCACAGGACCTCACTTCACAAATTCTCAATATCAGCTGGTAAATATTTATTTTAAATGTTAAAAAGGTTAAATAGCTTTTCTCCAGAGATACAGCATCAAATAATGCACTGCACGCGCATTCGAATCGCTCAAACACGGCCTCATTAGAGAGAGAGGCACTTGTCTGTGTCCTTACAATTTGATTAACAAACATCATGTGAATCACATTGTGTGTCAGACAGGACCAGTTTGCGCCAGTCTGACTAAATCAAGAAAAAAACAAGACTGCTGTGAGACCCAATCTGTTTATGGTGAGGGTTTTAATTAAGTGGCATGTACTGCTGACTATCTAAATGACATTTGATGGACATAATGAAAAGCAGAGAGTTAAACGTGTAAAACTAGTTTTGTTATTTGTTGGAAAAGGAAGCACTATGTCCTCTATGAACTGTCTGCATCCTGTATTTATCCCTGACTTGAAGCTGTGAGAATAAACACATTTAGTTTGACTTTTCAGAACTGCTCTTTTCATAACCTGCTGGGTGATTTCTGTGAGCTGTGACTCGTTTGAAGAAAGGAACTGCAGAAAGCTGCACATCCCAGAATTACAGCAAGTCCTGTTCCTCTGAAATTCAGCTGCCAACAAAACAAGAAGGGACTTTCCTGTGAGGGAAACCTGTCAGTCTTTTTGATTTATTCCTCTTGTGCAACATTCTTGACAGTTTAGTCATTTGAAATAACTAATACAAGCTGAAGGAGGTTTTAGACCTGTTCTGTCAGGAAGACTTTACTTTCACATAAAGTTGCTAGTTGAAAGGACGAGATTCTCAGTCGAGTGTTGGTGCATCTGACGTCTGCGTAGCAAGAGCAGATGAAAATGTTTCCTGTTGTGGTTGTCACTGTTTGTAGGTCGAAGGGGCAAACTACAGTACGTGCAGCTTTTCAGTCAGCTGTGTTTCAACATCCAACCCGTTAGAAGTTAACTCATCAAGTGCTTCCTATCTGGGTTTGGGAACCATTGTGAAATGCATCTTCTAATTGGGAGTAAAAACATTAAAGTTGTTGTATATAATTCTGGATCAAAGCCGCTGAACATTGATATCTGTTCTTGACTGGAGGAAGATTAAGTTGTTCTGAAAGGACGGGAGATAATCAGACCACAAAGTTATGCTTTTAACACCCACTCACCTCTTCCGGCATGTCAGCAGTGCCCTTTAAAAGAATTTATTCTTTTCACTTTTTCTCACAAACTTTATGTATTTGTCTTTATATTTAGGACAAACATCTGAGCTAGAGCTGGATGTCTTTTGAAGCATTTCTCTATCAGTTTTCTTGGGAAATATTTTTGCCTAATCTTCTACAGCTCAGTTTGGTTAGATGGAGAGCATCTAAAATCCGTCAAACTCATTTTCATTTTGGGCCATATAGAAATCAAGAATCTCTTCATCTTGTCTCTGCATTTGATGAAAACCTCTCGAAATCAAATAACATTAGACATATTTTTACAGTAATGTAATTTGGCACAATCAAAGATAAAAATGCAGATTTGATCAATAAAATAATATTTAAGCTCACTTTTCTCACAGGTTCTATTTTTGGAGTCCACAGGGCCACATATATACATCTGGCGGGCCGTATTTGGCCCACAGGCCTCAAGTTTGACAAATGTGCAATAGATGAATGTCTCTGACTCAATTAAATTCAAAAATATTTATATGTATCCCAAAGGAAAATTGGATGTTGGGGAGTCAGGGATGTGATCTTTGCCCATTGTGATGGATGGAAGAGATGGCCTGAAATTCCTGCTCTCTGAGATTCCAGTGAAGTCTCCTTTTCAACTCCTTAGTTAGTTAGTCTAAACCTTTTTACCCCTATTGTCAAAACTGGCAAATTTAAACAACTCAAAATTAATAAAAAAAAATACAGAAATTAGTTTATTGTCATTCTTTCTGTTTTTATTTTCACCTGCTCAATAATGAACAACATTTTTATAAAATCTTATAGATTCAAAACATAAAAAAAGGCTTCAGACCATTGCCTTATTAAAGGAAAAACAGACAATTTCCAAATTTTGGAGGTCATCAGTTGTTTTCTATTTTGTTGGCCACATTTTTCTCATTCTTCACTTTTGGTCAATGGCCAATCAGTCATTTCAAGGGCCATGAATGGCCCCCGGGCCACACTTTGGACATCACTCTGTCTGAATGTGACACGTAGGCCAGAAGTTTAAATGTTTTGGGCTGACCAGAGCTCTTCTTTCATGTTTGCTGTGTCAACTACATAGGTCACAGAGGACTTCATAAAGTTTCCTTCCTGCAGTTTTTCCATAAATGCCAGATTTGTGGACTGCAGAATCATGAAGACTTTAAATTTCTTCCTGTCGGCTGGTTCCTCTGTCTTCATGATGCCGTTTGTTCTCTAATGTTTTCTAAAGAAAAAAAAAAAACAACACCTGTGGCCTTCACAGAACAGCTGCATTTATGCAAAGATTAAGTTACAAACACTCAGGTTTTATTTACTGATTATGTGGCTTTGGAAGGTTGTTGGTTCCTCCAGATTTTATTTAGGGGTATCAGAGGTAAGATAACCGCTGTGTGAGGCTTTATTAGTACCAAATATACTTTTTGTCAAGAGGTACACTGCGTAGTTTAGATTATCCAAATAGTAGCTTATATTATATTAGACTTGTTCACTGTGATCAACTTTGATAAAAAGTTTCAGATGCAACAAACAAATTAGATTAATGCAAAAGAGCTGACCTTCAAGAAAAGATAGATTTCTATCTAGTGGAAAAAAATAATAATGAAAATGAAAATGTTTCCTGAAGTCTTCAAACTAAAATATTTATTAAGATAAACTTTCCTAAAGCAAATAAAATGCTCGTCAGTAAAATGCTTGCTTTACCATCAAGCAATGTAATTTGAACATTTAATGAAAAGGATGTAAGAGGTTATTTAGTCTGAAACTGAGCGTTATCATTAGTTCTGACCTTCTTTGTTTATGAACTCGGCTGCAGCGGTCAAACTCAATGAAAAATGCATGAGCTGCATAAAGATTTAGAAGTTCAGTCACCTTACTGATGGTGATTTTACATTCGATTTAACGCTTTACTTAACAGTTTCTGCAAAGCTTTGTCATGAAGTCCTCAGGCTGCAGAAGTATTTAACTGTAAAGTCATTTTAAAATGGAAATATTAAAAAAACTGGACAATCATAGGATCTCATGACTGATTACATACATACACACATAAAATAAAATAAAAAAACACACCTGTAACATTATAAAATCATGATCTTTCACAATGTAGTCAGCACTTTCATGTGTAACATAATCCGCAGAGTTGTGGAGTTAAAACGTCATTTCACTCCGAGCGCTTTGTCTAAAAAGTTTGCAAAGTTCTTTGGCTGTCCAGGCGGGAACGGCTGCAGAACAGAGAGATCCATGTTCTTCAGCGTTTCTATCAGAGTGCTGGACAAAAGAGCACACCATTAATCCTGGTTGGCTTCACATCGTTACCCTGCGGACAGTCGTGTGAGACGGACGTACCTGCATGTGCAGTACAGCAGGTGGTGGTCCATGTGTAGCTGCCGGGCCAGCTCCAGCTGGTGGTTGTCCATCAGTTTGTCATTGACCACAACTAGCAGAGGTTTGCCAGCGCCGAGAGCCTCCAGACAACTTCCTGCTCCTGAAAGGAGGTTTTAAAAATTAAAAGAGAATTAAAGTTGGCCTTTAACCTGTCTGTCACGAGAGGACCCAAATTTGGGTGTCAAACTCCAGTCCTCAAGGGCCTCTGTCCTGCAACTTTTAGATGTGCCTCTGCTGCACCACACCTGAAAAGAATAATTAGGTCATTAGCAAGGCTCAGGAGAACCGATCTACACAGGGAGGAGGTAATTAAGCCATTTCATTCCACTGTTTTTTACCTGTGGCACATCTAAACACTGCAGGACAGCGGCCCTTGAGGACTGGAGTTTGACACCCCTGTCATTGTGAATGACAACCTGAGACCAACAGGTTAAGTTTGCTTATTTGTTTTACTTAGCTTTAATTCCTAGAGTAAATATTAGAACCCATAAGTCCGGATTTCATGTTAAAGAAAGTTAATATTTTTGCACATTTTTATACTTACATTTGTGTCTGAACTGCATCTAAAAATAGCCTGAGTGGTTAAACAAGACAAACAAATGTTTTTTGGTGCCTAAAAATGAGTCATTTAAAAATCTTCCCGATTGTTAAGTTAGAGTCAATGGGCACTGCGTTGTTGCCTAGCAACCCAAGTGGAGCTCCAGCATGTTTGGTCAGCTGATTTAACCATTGTATGTATTATACAAAGGCCCAAAAACAGCTAATTCTGAAAGAAACTCAAAGTAGAGCAGACAGACCAGACTAAAATATCTAAAAAGGATGATTTTGTGCAGCAAAATGTAATGAACATGTTTTGTACAGTCTATAAACTGTACAAAACCTATCTTAACTTGTTTAAGGAGCCATTATACGTGGCCTTTAAGGTCCTATTGTGGAGTATAAACTTTATGGGTCTTGTTGCCGACATCGTTTAAGTACCTTGTCTTTGTTGTTTCAGTTTTGCATAATGAGACATAATCAGTCTCATCGCAGGTTTGTTTAATATTAAGCCCCTTAAAGCACCGGGTGATAACCACAACAAAAAAAAAGATTCTACTAATCTGAGTTGACAGACCAAATCAGGGAAGCACAATGAAGTCGCTATATTTTAATAATCGATTATTTGTGTAGAATAACCAAAGTGTCATGTAAAGAAAGACGTAAAATACGCAGCTGGTGACTGTTTTGTTGTTCTTTGTTTGTTTTGTTTTTAAGAGGTCTTTGCCCCTGAATTACCTGCATGGCTGATGACAAGATCAGCTTGCTTCATGTCTTCTGCTATTGAGTCTTTGAAGCGAAAAGCCTCCACGCTGAGGTGAGCACAGCTGTCAGCATCTGGAAGCAAAGATCCCTTTCCGACCTGAAGAACCAGACGCTCATATCCCCGAAACTTCAGCACCTGAGAGGGTCATCATCTTAGTTTTAAAACATGAAGTGCAGCTCCGTACCAGACTTATAAGACGCCTGCTCACCTGTGTGGCCTCATAGGAAGTGACGCTTTCGATCAGCTCATCAAAGCGCGTGGTTCCGACGGTGACGAACACCGTCTTCATGTCTACTCCGGTTTTAAACCCTCACTTTTTACTCTAAGTTAAGATTTCAGCTTGTTTATCTTCATCTTACAGAGCACAGATCTGACAGCTGCTTCCGCTTCAAACGTCATTCCGCTGCCAGGGTCCATGAGAGACGCACGATATCGCCATCTGGAGGCCGGAGTCTTAGTTGCAGCCACTTGCAGTTAGGAAAAGGTACAAAAAAATTCTGAAATAAGGTAAGCCTTGCTAAAATAGGACGAAAATAAATTTAAACAATACATTTTCTTTTATGGGAAACTGTCGTTATGACGGTACAAAAATGAAATTATATTGCATTTTATCCTGAGGGAGGCGTTTAAGGGCAACAAAGACAAGAACAACTTGACTAAATAAACTGTTTCTACCCAAGAACTGTTACTGTTACCCTGAACACCACCACGTTTTCATTCAAACCCTGATCATCATCATTTTCTTCACATTTTGGTTGTTTCTGTTCCCTCCCCTCTACTATATATGTTTTTTTTTATTTAAAAATATTTTTAAAATTATATTTATTTACTTGGCCATTTGCACTTCAAGAGTTCCTATTTTTAAAAATGTTAAGCTTTCTCGAACAATGACAGTAAAGGACTTCTTATTCTATTTTGCACATAAATACACTAAATATATAAATTTTAAAACTGTAAGGCCTCTTTGCAGTTAAAAATCTAAAAAACCATCAGTCTTAACTAAAACTGAAGCTGTACAGTAGAGTCTGCAAAACTCTCTGCCATGACTTTTGGTGAAGTTGTGGTCCAGTGAAGACTTTGAGTAGAATACAGCTCACAATATTTGCATGGCTTCCAGCACTGATAATGAACTGCCTATGAATGGTCAAGGCTAGGGTGCTACTTTAGATTTTTATTTGTTTTGACATATGGGACAGAGGGCTGCCTACCCTTATTTTGAATCCAGCTCCTACATGTATATGTGACATTGCATGAGTGCATGAGTGCCTTGTCACTCTGAAGGTGTCCTCTGTCCTCTTTAGTTAGTGCCAAGCTGTCACTCCAGACTGACAGCTCAGAGGAGTGGCTGTGATGTATAGATGACTTATACCTGCTAAATGCAGGTGGACCTGCTGTCGGAAATCCAAACAACAATCAGGGCATAGGTTTGTACTCGACACTGACAGCAGGGCTGTGTGTGGGCGGATTGTCACGGCTGAGGATTTTTCAGTAAAATACAGAAGAGCCAGTAGCTTATACAAACACATCAGAGGGTTATATAGATGTTTCTGCTGCATGTGGCCATTAACCACAAATTTAAATTTAGATTACTGGAGTTTATGTGATAGACAAGCAGAAAATAGGGCTTAATTATAAAGTAGAAATAATGTTATCTATACATGTTTTTTTTTTTTTTTTTCACAAGAATGGCAAGCATTTCTGTTCACCTTCTACTCAATCGATCGATCAATCAATTGTACTTGTATAGCGCATTTCAGCAAGTCATAAAACAACAAAAATGAGAAACCAGTGACAAACATTACATTTTGATGGGTGCCATCATTAAAATAATCAATACATGAATATATTGGTAAATGTTCCATTTATTATGGTTCAAATGCACCTCTAAACAGGCAGGTTTTTAGTCTTGATTCAAAGGAACTCAGTGTTTCAGCTGTTTTGGAGATTTCTGGAAGTTTGTTCCAGATTTGTGGTGCATAGAAGCTGAGTGCTGCTTCTCCATGTTTGGTTCTGGAGATAAAGAGCAGACCAGAACCAGAAGACCTGAGAGGTCTGGAAGGTTGATATAACAGCAGCAGATATTTTATGTATTTTGGTGCTAAGCTTTTCTGTGTTTTATAAACTAACAATATTTTAAAGTCTGTTCGCAGAGCAACAGGGAGCCATTATAACAACTATTACACCATTTTGTGCTGGTCAATGAAAAATGTAAATATGGGGCATTGCAGCTTTTGCTACGTGTTGTAAAATAGACTTAGACATATTTTAGTGCACTGAGGTTAGAATTTTTAGCATACATGCATAAATTATAAGTGTTTAGTCTCGCACCTTATTTTAGTTTTGAGGTGAAGACCTGCTGCTGTCGCCCCCTTGTGGTCGAGTAAAAATCTGAACTGTTTTTTTGTTAAGACGACACTTCAGTAAGCAGTTTATTTTTTACTTTTTATTCTGAAAACTTCATCCAAGCTACACCTTCATAAAACCTATCATTTTGGCCTGTATATGACCAAAAGCTAAGAGATTTATATTAATTTGGCCTTGGTGCACAAACATATATGATCTAATTTTCCTCATTCCTGCTGTCAAAAAAGTTGTATTTTCTCCAACAGAGATATATTTGTATAGTGCAAATTCATTGGTATAGAGTTTAGTAGTAAGAAGTTACATTTGCTCAGTTAATTTTTATACTTCTACTTGAGTAATTCTTTTTATGAAGTTCTCGAGTAAAATTTCTGGATTTGACCCACTGCGAGTAACTTCACAGAAGGAAAAACAAGCTGGTTTTAACCAAAAAAATCACCAGACAAGTTTCATAACTTTTAAATGGAAAGAAACTGATTTGAAAATATATGTATCTTTTTACAGAAGAAGATTAGAGCCACTGGGAAAAAAACAACAACAAAAAATTCTGACTGTAATCTCAAAATTCTGAGAAGAAAAAAAAAATCAGAATTCAGTGAAAAAAGTCAAAATTCTGACTTTTTTCCTCAGAATTCTGAGATTAAAGTCAGAACTGTTTTATTTTTTTTTTCCAGTGGCCCTAATCCTCTTCCGTATCTTTGCTCGATTTTGTTCTATGTAAATTATTTTCTTTTAGGTCTTTAAAATACCAGAACAAAGCAAAAATAAGTGGAGTAACATACACGTAGGCTACATGTCCGTATTAGCTTGGAGATCAAAGGTACATTTGCTAATTTAGCTAGTTCGGCAGTAAGTACAGACTGTTTAAAAAATGTAATCGTTGTAATGTGCTTATATTGTTTATAAGTTAGATATGAGGCGAGAGCTAGCTCTAAGCTTGTGGTATGTTGAGTTGTCATAGCAACTCCATAGCAACTGCCTGCCAAGATGGCTGCCAGTATAAAACAAACGACAGGTAAGCGCCAGTTATACCTCGAGTTATTTCTTGGATTGCTACTTTTCTTACTTGAGAAAAAATATGTTGGAGTAGTGCTAATCTTATTTGTTTAAATTTTTTTGGGTACTCTGGTCTCATTGTCTAACTTCTTACATAGTTGGCTTACGGTAAGGGATGAATAAACTGCACATTTCTGCTTTTGGAAAAACCCTGGATAACATCTCTAAATCTGGATAAACGTTCACATTTTTATTTTTTATCTCTGTGTTGTTTCATTGCAGCTCACCGACCTCAGCTTGACACCGCGGGCGGATGCCAGTCCGGAGAGTCGGCGGTGATTCTCGCCGTGCGGACCCAGATTAACGCAGCAGGACTCGGAACAAAAGGGAAACTTGTTTCCGTCGAGGAGTTTGGAGGTCAATCTTTAAAATCACTGTAGAACTATTCACATTTCACCCATAGCTGAACCAGCTCATGTCGATAAAATGAAAGAGCAGCCTCGGTGTTCCTCCCACTATTTGATGGGAATGCTGCAAGTTCTGATCTGAACAGGCTTCCGTTGTCTTGAACAGACCGAATCTGCATGTTTTCAATCTGCATCTCCATCGCTGCATAAAGAGGTGTTGTGGAAAGAAACAAAGAACCAGTTAAAGCTAAAAAATGCGGCAGTTTCATGAATTCATGCTGAATATTTTGGTGCACATAATTGTAAAAGTAAAAAATAGCCATCCAAGAAATTACGTAATAGCAAAAAAAGTATCTAGTTAAACTTCTACTGAAGTACTGAGTAACGGATAATAATATTTTATATTTAAGAATGATGTCAGACAGACAAAAATGTAAAGTTAAGTCCAAATTCTGGTATTTTAAAAACTAAAGTAGAAAAAAAATACTAATTACAGGACTACAAAATAAGAGATTCAGGTTTTGCTTTTCCAAATCCTAAAAAACCAACAATGAAACTAAAACAGTTGGTAATGTCAGAATAGGGTGAAATATTTCCAGAGCCAAATGGCACAGCAGATAGAAAATAATAAGAAATAAAAACAGATTGTGCAGAAAAAGTCTCATCTTAAACAAGTTGTCATAACAAAGACATTTTGAATAATGTCAACTTTGTATTAAAAGTGTCATAATTTACCAAATGACGCTTTATGACAACAGTCATAACTATTCATGAAGGCTTATTCATGTTCATGACAGGAGTTTATGACAGTGTCATGTCAGTCTTATTCAACCCACTTCAAATAAAGTGTTACCGTAAAAATTCTGAGAAAAAAGTCAGGATTCTTAAAAAAATAAAATATCTGGTTTAATACTCTGAAGTCTGATAATTTTGACTTTAATCCAAGAATTCTGCAAAACAAAAAAAAGTCTGGGATTAAATTCAAAATTCTAAGAAAAAAGTCAGAATTATAAAAAAAAAAATATATCAGATTAAAAAGCCGGAATTCAGATCTTTAATCCCACAATTCTGAGAAAAAAAAAATCTAAATATTAAATTCAAAATTCTGAGAAAAAAGTCTTAATTCTGGGTCGAAACTTCTAGCAAAATTTTTGCTCAGGGGGTTCATTAGCTATAATAGCCAAAATTAATCTTTTAGCTGTGCCACTGTAATTAAATTGAACAAAACACAGATTTAATTTCTTTAATTACAAAAACTAATTCATTTTTTAATAATATTGTAATATATTGAGTCAACTGCAGGCAGTGGAAAGGCTCATCTTTAGCTCAAAATCAACTTACTCCGCTCTGACATCCAAAATAATCAGCCGGTGCTCGTGTCTCATTTAAAGATAATACTTTATCTGTGTCATCACAAAAAACAGAAGTTCCAGCATGTTTATTTTCAAATAATTACAGTTGTTTATCTTAGAGAAAATAAAAAGACAAATGACAAAAGGGTGCAGGGGGGATGAGGAGAAATTTAAGGCTCTGTTAAATTCTCTGCTTAGAAACAACAACAAAAAGATTCCGACAACTCAGAAAAAACCTGAAGCTAGTATAAAATTAGGCTTAAAACTGGCTACCCACGTCATGTTTTAATAAATATGTTACTGTAATAAAAGAAAAATACAAAAAGTTAGAATCGGATGAACTGCGCCAGAACTTTCACCGGACC